TCGTAACTGATAAAGAATATCTCTTTGGTTTTGAGACTTAAGTCTTTGCAACTTCAGGGATCTTATCTATGCACAATCAGCTTGTAACACTCCAAAGAGAAAGGAAAACTTGAAATCGCATCATATGACCCCTCAAAATGAAATTAAAATTAAAAAATATAAAAATATAATAGAAAATATTAAAAATTTAAAATACTGCCTTGGCAACTAACTGAAATAAGAAGTTGAAATAGTTGCAATTACTGAAACTGAAATAAAAAAAATTATGAAATATAAATATTTAAATACAAACAAAAACTAATAAAATTACAAAAGCACAAATTAAACTACACTGAAATTAAAATGGAAACTGAAAATATAAAAATAAAAGGTAATTTAAAACGTTAATAAACACAATAATAGCATACAAGTGAGACTAAAATAACACTAGATAGGTTGATTTCCAGAAGAATGTAAAAATTGTGATTCATAAAAAAAATTGCTTAGTTTATTGGACTGTCTCAACATGTCATCTTCCCACTCGACCAATGATTGAGTTTGAGTCAGACTATCATTTTGCCCAGCCAATGGAAAGCTGTTTTGGAAACAAAAATGAAAAACTTATGTTGGTATCAGAGATGTAGCTCTGGATTGGTTTATTTCTTATTTGTCGAATAGGTCTTTTTCCGTAGTGCTTGGCGATGCCTCCTCTTTTTGTGCTCCTTTATTTTGTGGGGTCCCTCAGGGATCTATTTTGGGTCCCCTTCTGTTTACTATCTACATGTTACCCCTGGGTCAAATTATGCACAGTTATGACGTTGAGTTCCACTGCTATGCAGATGATGCGCAATTGTATGTCCCGGTAAAGCCTGGTATTATTGATACATCCCATATTATGTCATGCTTCATCGAAATCAAAAATTAGATGTCGAAAACTTTTTTGCAGTTGAACATTTGGGCAGCATTATGCTAATATTTCCACATAGTGAGGTAGATATGTGGGGACGTGTTAGAATGAGCCGTTTTAGGGGGGCGGGGCAGAGTCGTAACTGATAAAGAATATCTCTTTGGTTTTGAGACTTAAGTCTTTGCAACTTCAGGGATCTTATCTATGCACAATCAGCTTGTAACACTCCAAAGAGAAAGGAAAACTTGAAATCGCATCATATGACCCCTCAAAATGAAATTAAAATTAAAAAATATAAAAATATAATAGAAAATATTAAAAATTTAAAATACTGCCTTGGCAACTAACTGAAATAAGAAGTTGAAATAGTTGCAATTACTGAAACTGAAATAAAAAAAATTATGAAATATAAATATTTAAATACAAACAAAAACTAATAAAATTACAAAAGCACAAATTAAACTACACTGAAATTAAAATGGAAACTGAAAATATAAAAATAAAAGGTAATTTAAAACGTTAATAAACACAATAATAGCATACAAGTGAGACTAAAATAACACTAGATAGGTTGATTTCCAGAAGAATGTAAAAATTGTGATTCATAAAAAAAATTGCTTAGTTTATTGGACTGTCTCAACATGTCATCTTCCCACTCGACCAATGATTGAGTTTGAGTCAGACTATCATTTTGCCCAGCCAATGGAAAGCTGTTTTGGAAACAAAAATGAAAAACTTATGTTGGTATCAGAGATGTAGCTCTGGATTGGTTTATTTCTTATTTGTCGAATAGGTCTTTTTCCGTAGTGCTTGGCGATGCCTCCTCTTTTTGTGCTCCTTTATTTTGTGGGGTCCCTCAGGGATCTATTTTGGGTCCCCTTCTGTTTACTATCTACATGTTACCCCTGGGTCAAATTATGCACAGTTATGACGTTGAGTTCCACTGCTATGCAGATGATGCGCAATTGTATGTCCCGGTAAAGCCTGGTATTATTGATACATCCCATATTATGTCATGCTTCATCGAAATCAAAAATTAGATGTCGAAAACTTTTTTGCAGTTGAATGACTCCAAGTCAGAAGTGCTTATAATTACCCCATGCATCCCCAGTAGTGCTAGTATGAATAATCTCTAGTCTGGGTGCCTTATCTAATAATGTTCGAAAAGAGGCTCGCAGCTTAGGTGTAGTTTTTGACTCAGAACTGTCCTTTGATGTTCAGGTGACTAAAGTGGTGCAGTCTTGTTTTGCACAACTGAGGCAACTAACGAAGATAAAGTCATTCCTTTCTTTGGCAGATTTGGAAAAGGTCATTCATGCTTTTATTTCTTCCAGACTTGATTATTGTAATGCACTTTATTCTGGTATTAGCAAGAGAAATCTCCAAAGATTGCAGCTGATTTAAAATGCTGCTGCTAGGCTTTTAACACGTACTAAGAAAAGTGACCACATTACACCGATTCTTGCTGCTCTTCACTGGTTGCCTGTGAGTTTTAGAATTGATTTTAAGATTTTGTTGCTTGTTTTTAAAGCCTTGAAGGGTCAGGGTCCTGCCTATATTTGTGATTTATTAATTCCTTATGAGCCTGATCGCTGCTTGAGATCCTCTGACCCTCCCTATTAATGGTTCCAAAATCTTGACTTGTTACTAAAGGTGACAACGCTTTTGCTATCCGTGCGCCTAAGCTATGGAACGCCCTGCCTGGGGATATTAGGCAGGCTCCTACTGTATCCTCTTTTAAGTTTCTTCTTAAGACTCATTTTTATCGTATGGCTTTTTCTTAATTTTGATGGTATTTTTTGTATTTTGTTACTGTACTGATCTTTTTATTGTAAAGCACTTTGTAACTTTGTTTTGAAAGGTGCTATATAAATAAATGTTTACTTACTTTGGAAACAATCATTATTTTTTGGGTTCAGTTTCTGCAGAAAATGTGTTGCCTAAATGATGCTCTTCATCTTTAAATTAAAATTCCTTTTTTTAATGTGTGCAAGGAAACCACAGTAAATGTTCTTTATAATGTAATGTAATTGTTTTTTCCACAGTAATTGTTTTTTCTTTATGTCAGGTGTTATTAGAGGACACAGGATTGTCTGCCAAAAATTCTCTCTCATTACAAAGACAGCCTGGACCTCCGTCAGAGAGTCTGAGAGGGAGTAACACAAACTATCCATTTCTGCCAGGTTCAGTAGTTCATATTTAGATCAACTTCTCATAATTGTATTTTAAAATGATCCAGTTTTTAAACTCTTCTGTCCTCGTACAGGTGGAATGGAAGAACTGACGTTAGAGCAGATTAAGAAAAAGTCAGAGCTGGAAGAAGACATTGACTTTGAGGAAGGTTAGTGGTCTGTTTCGTTTTGTCAGTTAACAATCATTTGTGAGTGTGTGGGAGAGAAAAAGAAACCGTGACAGTTTGTTTCTTGACTTAGATTTGTTGATGGTTCCTCCTGGGCTGAAGGCTGGTATGGACTTCAGTGACAAAGGTCTGATTTCAGTATTGCTCTCTGGATGTATAACTTGTCATCATCCCTCTTTAGGTTGTGCATTATTATCCAAAAATAAAAAAAATCTGTCATAGTTTTCTCACCCTCATGTCATTCCAAACATGTATGACTTACTTTCTTCAGCAGAACACATAAGAAGATATTTTAAAGAATGTTGGTGCCCATTGACTTATGGACAAAAAACACACTGAGACTTTTCTAAATAATGTATTTTATGTTCTGCTGAAGAAAGAAAATCATACAGGTTTGGAGCGACATGAGGGTGAGTAAATGATGACAGATTTTTCATTTTTGAGTGGGCTGTCTCTTTAATGCCTTTAGAAGCCAAAACCACGAAGAGTGAGTTGAACCTGTTGTCACTACTGTCGACCTTTGGTGATGGCATCGACGCTCTGCCAGAGGAGAAAGAGGGAGTCTCCCAAAAAGAGGAGACCGTTAAACTTCCCAGAACTAACAGCCTGGAGGACCTGGGCATTAAAGTGTGTATTCTTATGCATTTGAATACCCGACATTTCTGTGTTTGTTTTGACGTTTTCAAAATATGTTCTTCTTAAACACATGTACTCTTCAGGATTCAGGCAACTCTCCTTCTCAGCCTTCAGCGAACACAGTAAGTCTGACTGAGCAAAAGAAGAAACCTCAGCAAGAAGACAAGGGAGACAATAAAAAATGGGCCGTTCCTGTGGACATCAGCTCACCCTGTGACGACTTCTACAAGCGTATACCTGATCCAGCCTTCAAGGTCAGAACTCAATATTTGTTCATCATTTTACAAGGTTTAATAGTGAAGCTGCTGTTATGCACATGGTTTTTGTGAGTTTGCTATAATAAAAGGTTGTTTGTTTTTTTTCTTTATTCCTGCCCCGTCTCAGTATCCCTTCGAGCTGGACGTGTTTCAGAAGCAGGCTATTCTCCGACTCGAAGCTCATGACTCCGTCTTTGTCGCGGCTCACACCTCAGCCGGCAAGACCGTGGTGGCTGAATACGCAATTGCACTTTCCCAGAAACACATGACCAGGTCTTTACTTTTTAATACACTACCGTTCAAAAGATTGGGATCAGTTGGGATTGGTTAACGGAAGTCTTTTACGCATTTATTTGATCAAAAATACAGTAAAAACTGTAATATTGTGAAATATTATTACAATTCAAAAGAACTGATTTCTATTTGAATATATTTTCAAATGTAATTTATTCCTGTGATCAAAGCTGAATTTTCAGCAGCATTACTCCAGTCTTCAGTGTCACATGATCCTTCAGAAATCATTCTGATATGCTGATTTGCTGCTCAAGAAACATTTCTTATTATTATCAATGATGAAGTTGTGCTGCTTAATATTTTTGTGGAAACCGTGAAAAGAACATTTATTTAACATTATTAATGTCTTACTGCAGGTTTTTTTTTTTATAGTTAAACTAAAATTAAACCATAAAAAAATTGTTACTTGGAGAAAGAAAAAAAAGGTTAACCAAACTAAAACAAAAATGATTTATTATTTAATTATTTTATTTCAGCTAGTTGCCCAGGTAGCATTTCTCATAGTTTGACTTTAGTTTATCTTGAAGTATTAAAGTAACTACAACTACTAATACAAATTAATAAAAGCTATATGAAAACATTTTAAACAAAAAAAAAACGGCAAATTACTAAAACTTTAACTAAAATTAAAATGAAAACAAAAAGTAAACAAAGAGTGAAAAATTTAAGGGGGTCTGAATACTTTCCGTACCCACTGTATATTAAATTCAAACTAGCAACAAAAAATATAATAGTATATCAGTGATACAAAAATAACTGCGTTGCTGTCACTTTAAAAATAAAATAAAATACATGCTTGCGGAATTTAAAAAAAATTCAAATCATACCTACAAACTTTTAAATAGTAGGTATTTAAAAAAAAAAAATTCTTAGCAGATTTTTTTTTTTTTTTAAACCACGTTAAAGTACTTGTAAATAAAGCACTTTTAATTCCCATTGTGTATGAAATGTGCTAAATAAGTAAACATATCTTGTCTTACTGTAACATTAGATGAATGGCTCATACCAATATCACTGTTCCTCCTGACAGGACCATTTACACATCCCCCATCAAGGCCTTGTCCAATCAGAAGTTCCGGGACTTCAAGGCCACATTCGGTGACGTGGGACTGTTGACTGGAGATGTCCAACTGAGCCCTGAAGCCTCGTGTCTCATCATGACCACTGAGATCTTGAGGTGATTATCCAATAGCAGGCCTTCATGTCAGTTACTTACAATTCATAGTTAGTCCCGTGCATGATTTTTTTGTAAATCAGTATGTCTTCCTCCTAACAGATCTATGCTCTATAATGGGTCCGAGGTCATTCGAGATCTGGAATGGGTCATTTTTGATGAGGTTCACTATATCAATGATGCAGAGGTGATGAATTCAGTTCAAAAATCTATTTCAGTTATGCTTTTGTCTTTATTGTATTCAGATCTCATATGATTTTGTTGTTTGTCAGAGGGGAGTGGTGTGGGAGGAAGTGCTTATCATGTTGCCAGAGCATGTTAGCATCATCCTACTGAGTGCCACAGTGCCAAACGCAGTGGAGTTCAGTGAATGGATCGGGTGTGTGTATTATCAAAGCCATTTTATCCTGCTCTATGTAGATCGTGTGGCTCACACAGTTTTACTGTGCTTTCTCCGTCCTCAGGCGTATCAAGAAGCGGCCCATCTATGTGATCAGCACAATTAAGAGGCCTGTTCCTCTAGAGCACTATCTCTATACCGGCAACAGCACCAAGACTCAGAAAGAGCTCTTCCTGTTGCTCGACCCCTCTGGAAACTTCCTCACTAAAGGGTGCGTTAAGTCACGAAACAAGATTGCATTTCAAAACAAGAATTATTGAAGATTCATTGAAGTCTCTTATGCTGAACAAGGCTGCATTTATTTGATCAAAAATTCAATAAAAAGTAATATTGTGGAATATTATTATAATTTAAAATACCTGTTTTCTATTTGAATGTGTGTTGAAATGTAATTTATTCCTGTGATGTCAAAGCTGAATTTTCAGCATCATTACTCCAGTCTTCAGTGTCACATGATCCTTCAGAAATCAGTATAATATGCTGATTTACTGATCAAGTAACATTTCTGATTATTATCAATGTTGAAAACAGTTGTGCTGCTTCATATTTTGGGGAAACCGTGATACATTTTTGTTTTCATGATACTTTGATAAATAGAAATTTCAAAAGAACAGCATTTATTTGAAATAGAAAATAAATAAAGAGAGCGTAAAATTAAAATAGAGAGAGTAAACTTGGAATGTGGATGAAAAATAATAATAAATCATTTAATATTATAATGTGTTTGCAGTGTCCGTCTGGTTGCTTGATTGTTTTCTACATTGTAAATGGACTATATCTGCTGCAATTAAGATAACATTTGAACTCAGATGGGTTTATTTAGTAAATAACGGTCAGAAAGAGGGTTGAATATGGTGTATAAATCTATATGATGACTTTTCACCTAAAAAAAGAAAAAATCTTTGAATAACATATTTAGACTAACATTATAGATGGACTTCAAACAAAGTTTTACACAAGTATAGCAAAAGGCTTGTGTAAATTAATTTAAATTGAAACAAGTGTTTTGTTTTTCAGCTACTATGCCGCAGTGGAAGCCAAGAAGGAACGCACTAGTAAACATGCACAGTCTTTCGGCACAAAGAACGTGTCACAGCACAACACAACAGCCAGTCAAGTCAGTGTCTGAAGCTCTCGTCATTTCCTTTTAAACAAATTATCTCTATTTCCTGCAACTACAGTGTTTTTTTACGGTGTTTCCTTCATCCTCCCCGTTCTCTGTTAGGATCGAGCCGTGTGGCAGACGCTGCTGAGCTATCTGTCTCAGAGGCAGCAGACTCCAGTGGTGGCGTTCACCTTCTCCCGGACACGCTGTGATGAAAACGCCCGCTCTTTGACCTCTCTGGACCTCACCAACTCCATAGAGAAGAGCGAGATCTACTCCTTCCTGCAGAAGAGCCTGACCAGACTGAGAGGAGGCGATCGGCAGTTGCCACAGGTACATGAGATTTGGGTCCAGTGTAGCAGTAGAACAAGAGTTTTCATTGGCTAATTCAGATATCTGGAAAAACAAGGTGGCTTATACCCAATATAATGCTGATAAATTATACATAACTCAATTTAATGATAACAAGCAGAAATGCTGAAATTAAATCAACACTTATTTAAAATAATATATATATATATTTAGAAAATGTATGTCTGGGTCATGTTCCACCCTGAAATCAAACAAAAGAAAAAGTAATAAATTACATTTTACTTGAAGCCTATTTTAGGAACATTAAGATGTTTTGCACTGTCTTAACTTATTAAGTGTATACTTTCTTTCTTTCAAAATTATACAAAATAATACATAATCTTTTATGCATCACAGTAGTAAATAATGTTTTTTTTTTTACATTACAGTATGTTACTGACAGTTAAACTCAGTAACCTGCTGTAAAAACCCCACTATTTACTACTGTAATGCAATAAAAGAAGATGTATTATTTAATTTTTTGAAAGACAAATTCAAAGAATTCACTACTATTTAGGTTTGGGGTCGATAAGATATTTTTGAAAGAAGTCTGGTAACACTTTACTTAAAGCCTTTCTATATGTAACCCTGGACCACAAAACCAGTCATGAGGGTCAATTTTTCGAAATTGAGATTTATACATCATCTGAAAGCTAAATAAATAAGCTTTCCATTGATGTATGGTTACATCATCAATGTATTATAATATTGGTTATGATAGGACAATATTTGACTGAGATACAACTATTTGAAAATCTGGAATCTGAGGGTGCAAAAAAATCAAAATATTGAGAAAATCGTCTTTAAAGTTGTCCAAGTTCTTAGCAATGCATAATTACTAATAAAAAATTTAGTTTTAATATATTTACAGTACAAAGTTTACAAAATGTCTTCATGGAACATGATCTTTACTTAATATCCCAATGATTTTTGGCATAACAGAAAAATCAACTATTTTGACCATACAATGTTTTTTTGGCTATTGCTACAAATATACCCCAGCGACTTAAGACTGCTTTTGTGGTCCAGGGTCACATATAATGCATTATAAAAATATTTGTAATGCATTAATTATGCCTTGTAATGCATCTTATGATTCTATGAATAATAATTATAATACAGTATAACACCTATCGATTCATAGTTACATATTTAGAATGTACAATGCATTAAACACTTGATAAATGACCAATTTCAGATGTAACAAGGGATCTGCAAATATTATAATGCATTTTAACTTTTGTTACAGATATAATGCATTGCATTGTACATTATGAATACCTTTATAATGCATCATACATAACAGCTTCAAGTAAAGTGTTACCAGAAGTCTCTTATGCTCACCAAGGCTGTGTTTATTTGACCAAAAATACAGTCAAATCAGTAATATTGTGAAATGACTGTTTTCTATGTGAATATATTTGAAAATGTATTTGAAAAATCCACAGAAAAATGAATTTTGTCACCACAGATCCTGTTGATGCGTGATTTGCTGAAGAGAGGGATTGGTGTTCACCACAGCGGCATCCTGCCAATCCTGAAGGAGATTATTGAGATGCTCTTCTCCAGAGGTTTAGTAAAGGTTTGTTTTATGGACTTGTTTTATACAAGCTTTATTTGAATAGAGAAAAGCTCAATTTATCGCTGTATTTGATTAGAGAAAAGCAAAATAGTTGGTGACTTTTCTCTTTCAGGTGCTGTTTGCTACAGAGACGTTTGCCATGGGTGTGAACATGCCTGCCAGAACCGTCGTGTTCGACAGCATCCGCAAACATGACGGCACAGGCTTCAGAAACCTGCTGCCCGGTAAAAACACAGCTCCTTTGCTGTCTTACATCACAAACAACAAAATGCCTGTTTTGTCCAAACATATCCTGACTTGCAGCTCTTATGCACGCCTGTTGCATGTATTCTCATTTAAAATGATAACTGTTTACAATTATTATACAAATTATCATACAAATGGACATTATAAGAAGCTGTCAGATACTTGTTGGCGGAGACGCTACAGGCAGACAGACGCCACTGATGGCCAGGTGTTTGATGCATTAGCCGTCTCTAATGAATGAGCAGATTAATTATGCTGGAGTAGTGCAGATGTTTGTGCACATGTGACCGGACTGCAGTGAGACAGCAGGAGGCCTTTGATGTGTGTGTGTTTGTGTGAGAGAGAGAGAGATGCTTGAGTTTGCTCAAATCTATTTTTCTTCTAATAATAGTGTGTATGAAAAAAGGGAAGAGGGAGAGAGTATAGCGCACAGTTAGCACAGATTTGAGTGTAGATGGCCCTGTTTTAGCCATTGCGTCAAAGACATTTTGCATATTGCCAATATGCAACATAGATATTCATAAAACATTTGGGTAGATGTGACAATACATATAAAAAATGTGCCTGGGTCATGTTTCACCCCCAAAATCAAAATATAGAAAATTTTTAAATTGTTATTTTTAATTTTAAGACAATTATACATTTTACTTGAATGACAATTTTAAGAAATTGATGCCCATTTTAGAAACATTTTCCAAGTAATTTTATGACAATTAAACACAATTAAACTACCTCTCAGTAACCTACTGCAATGTAAAAAAAATACCATTCTTATTACTGTAATTAAAAAATATATATTATTTAATTGTGAAAGATAATTCTAAGTACATACTACCATTTAAAAGTTCTGTAAAATTCTTAGTTTTTTTTTTTATTTGATCAAAATACAGTAAGAACACTAATATTGTGAAATATTCTTACAGTTGTTTTCTATTTTAATGTATTTTAAAAAGTAATTTTTCTGGTGATGACTTTTTTCTTTTTGCTCAATAAGCATTTCTTAATACTCTCAATGCTGAAAACAGTTGCGCTGCTTAATATTTTTGTGCAAACCGTGTTAAATATTTTCAGGATTCGCTGATGAACAGAAAGTTCAAAAGAACAGCATTTATTTGAAATATAAATATTTTGTAACATTAGAAATGTATTTACTGGCACTTTAATCAATTTAATGCATACTGGCTCCAAACTTTTAAATGATACTGTCATGGTAGTATTTGTTGTATTAAATTATATGATATATGATCAATTATATGATTACTTTAATCTAAAACAAAAAAGATTCACAGATAATTGGATTCTTAATTGTCATTGAAATAGCGTTTCAAAATCTTAATGGCCTCAAATGGTAAAAAAACTGCTTATTTTTCTTTAAGCAAAGTATATTTTACTATAATAATAATTCGCGATTAATCGCATCTAAAATAAAAGTTTTTGTTTACATAATATATATGTGTGTGTACTGTGTATATTTATTATGCATATATAAATACACACACATGCATGTATATATTTATGTTTATGTTTTAAATATATTTATATATAATATAAATTATCTGAATGTAAATATATACATGTAAATATTTTCAAAATATATACTGTATGTGTGTGTATTTATATATGCATAATAAATATACACAGTACACACACATATATTATGTAAACAAAAACTTTTATTTTGGATGCAATTAATCTTTGTGTGTGAGTGTGTGACACTTTCGAAGTGAGATTAAATGTAAATGTATAAAATGTTTTTGTTTAAAAGATTACACAACTGATGCTAAACTATGTGTGTGTGTAGGTGAGTACATTCAGATGGCGGGCCGTGCGGGCAGAAGAGGTTTGGATGCTACAGGGACTGTTATCATCCTCTGTAAGGCGGGAGTTCATGATATGGGAGACCTCCACGCCATGATGCTGGTCAGTCTGTGTTAAACACCTACAGCTCTCTCCGCTGGTGCATGATCGGAAAGTTATTTTGTTCGTAGCTGGTAAAGTCCTCCAATTTACGGCCATTACTGCAGCAATCTCCTCCTAATCCAGGCTTTACTATGATCTGAGAACAGATATCCCATCTCGTCTTTGTAAATCACTGCCTGATTGTTCATGCTAGAGCCAAATACAAGTGTCGCTGGTCTTTTTTTAGAGTCATGCAGCCTGTGAGTGCACCTCTGTCCTCCTCTTGTGGATGGAGTGTGGGTGAATGAGCTCCTCTTCATTAGAGTGTCCAGCGTGCCAGAGCTGTTTTAACCTCTCAGTGTTTAACATCACAGCTATTCAGTCAATTAACCCCTGTCCCTGATTCACTGCCATTCCAGCACAGAACTCACCAGCATTCACTAGTGCTGCTGTCATTTTGCTAGTCTCCACATTACACATACCAGCATAAACATGAAAGCCGATTTGTAGTGTTTTTTGGACTTAAGGTTTGGAGCCAGTGTTATTTTAGTGTATTCAGGTAACACTTTACAACAAGGTTCCATTTGTTAACATTAGTTAGCCACATTAGTTAACATAAACTAACAATAAAAAATACTTCTAAAGCATATTTGATTCCAACATTTACTAATACATTATTATAATGAAAAGTTGTATCTATTAATGTTTTTAGTGGACCTGAGCTAAAATGGACTAACAATGAACAGCTTTTTTTAAATTAACTAACATTAACAAAGATTAATAAATACTGTAACAAATGTATTGCTCATTGTTAGATAATGTTAGTTAATGTATTAAGTATAGATAACAAATGGAACCTTATTGTAAAATATTAGTTTTTTATATACTATTATATTATTTATTAATTAATATTTTGAATAGCTTTTATTTTCCCTTTTAATTTAAGTTTTAGTAATTTTTTTTTTCATTTTTATTGCCTTTTGTTTTAGTTTTTTCTAAATATATACATTTCTACATGGTTTTAATTCATTTCAGTTTTAGTTTTAGAAATTCTAGTACTTCAACCTAAACTTTGTTTAACTTTTTTGTTTGTTTAACTATTGCATCTAATATTTATATTTTATTTTAGCTCAATTTCACTTCCTAATAATAATGTAATATTAGGTTTAGCTTAATTTTTTTGCTTTGTTTTTCACCTGGAAGATAATAAATTAGGCAAATAAATTCCATAGACTTATATTGAAGAGGCAAGTGATTAATTTTGAGAGACCAGAATATCATTTGAATTGGATCAGTAAAAAAACAGCTCAGTAACATGTTCAAGATACTCTGACATGTTTGCTATCGCAACACCCTAGCTTCAGGGCAGTGAGTTTTGCAGAGGCAGATCCTCAGAAAGAAGAGAATAAGTGAGCTGAGAAACACACTCTCATCTCTCCCTCCGCTGGACACAGAGGGGCAGTTATCTGATTTAGTGTCATATTACCACACCATCACAGAGCTGTGCATCACCACAGAGACCCTGCAGGTGCACGCACACAAACACACACATTTATATGAGCACAGTGTACGCTATCACAGAGCTCAAACACTGGATTCACAGCATTTGGCCGATTACATGCATTTGTAAACCAGCTAAGAAAAACCTTGGACAGTTGGGTTCTGATTAAATGACAGAATTGCATTAATTGAATTTAAAAAAAAAAGAATTATCTTGATTTAAATTTCATTCAGGGCTATTATAGTGAACTAAAACTAAAACCATAAAAAAATTGTTACTTCAAAAAAATGTACGCAACAATTTAACAACTAGTTGCTAAGGCAACATTTCTTATTTTCGTTTTGTTCAATTTGATGTAATAAAATAACTATCACAGCATTTGGCCGATTACATGCATTTGTAAACCAGCTAAGAAAAACCTTGGACAGTTGGGTTCGGATTAAATGACAGAATTGCATTAATTGAATTTTTAAAAAAAAGAATTATCTTGATTTAAATTTCATTCAGGGCTATTATAGTGAACTAAAACTAAAACCATAAAAAAATTGTTACTTCAAAAAAATGTACGTAACAATTTAACAACTAGTTGCTAAGGCAACATTTCTCATTTTCGTTTTGTTCAATTTGATGTAATAAAATAACTCAAACTAAAAGCCATATACACATATTTTAAAATTCACAGAACGTACTACAAAAAATGAAATATATGAAATAAACAAATATAATAAACGAAAATATAAAAATAAAAACTCATTAAAAATGTTATGAAAAATGGTTGTATTTCAGTGATACTAAAATAACACTGATATGATTTAAATTCTTAGAATTTACAGTTATTTGTTGTTATTATAACAGGTGATGATAATATTTAGCTTGTTTATTTTAAAACAATATTTTTGATTTGTTTTTTTGTTTTTTTTATTAGTTAATTTATTAATTTAAGAAAAATCTGAGCCATCAAGTGCTTTCAAAACCACCAGACCAATTATTATTTCTATATAATATTTAAAATGCATACATGTACAGTATATACATACATACAAACATGCAGTACATATATAAATTGTATTCTATATTTAAAATAATCACGCTCTATGTGTGTGTGTGTGTGTGTGTGTGTGTGTGGCAGCGAGCTGTACTGGAGTCAATGAATGGACTGAAAGCTCTGTCTGTGGGGAGGGTGGTAATAGTGAACAACGGCCAGCATCACAACGCCCTGGCAGTCATTCTACAGGTGTGTGCCTGAATAATGAACACATTTTACTGTCAACTTCTCCTTCTCTAACCATGAACACACATCTGCAGCAATGACCAATGACAATATCATGCATCCATTTGGGAAAGTGGGGTAAGATATTTTTTTTATTTAAAGATAAAAGATAAGTTTTTTTTTTTAAAGAAAAAAAATTGAAAGTCATATTTCAATGGCTATATATAGATGTTTTCTTCTAATTTGAGTGTATAGCCAACAATCTGAAATATAATTAGTATTTTTTTTAACGATTTTTTATGTTTTTGAAAGAAGTGCGTTATGTTCAACAAAGCTGCATTTATGTGATTAAAAACAGTAATATTGTAAAATATTATTACAATATTTTAATGCATTTTAAATATATTAATATATTTTACATTTTAATATATGTTAAAATGCTGTTTATTCCTGTGATCAAAGCTGAATTTTCAGCATCATTACTCCAGTCTTCAGTGTCACATGATCCTTCAGAAATCATTTCTAATATGGTGTTTTGCTGCTCAAGAAACATTTCTGATTATTATCAATGTTGAAAACAGTTGTGCTGATTAATATTTTTCTGGAAACCATGATACATTTTTTCAGGATTCTCTGATAAATATAAAGTTCAAACGCACTGAATTTATTTGAGATAAAAATTTTGTAACATTATAAGTGTCTTTACTGTCCCTTTTGATCGATTTAATGCATCCTTGCTTATTAAAAGTATTACTTTCTTTCAAACTTTTGAACAGTAGTGTATTTCCCAGAGGACAATTTAAGAAGAAAGTTGCACAGCTTACCTCAATCTCCTCTATTTGTTTTCCTCTCTCTCTCTCTTTCCTCTCATCTCCTCCCACAGGTGTCCAACGATGCAGTAAATCGCACGTTCACCGCTCTCATTATCTGTGAGAAGGGTAACGAGGAGGCGGCGAGTGATGATCTGTCTAATAAAGCCTTCCATCCCATCTACAGCACTACACTGTTTATTCCAGAGGGTGAGCAAACACATACACATACACACACAGCATCGCATCCACCCAAAAACCTTGCCTGCCCACACCGTAAATCACCAAGGTAGGAGAGTGACGTCATGAACGTCACAACTACTTTTATAGCTTCTTTTGTTGTTAAAGTGTCATTTACAGTGTGACTGTGTGTGTGTGTAGGACCCTGCAGTCACACGGTGCAGAAACTGAAGTTGCAGGACATCTCTGCCATCACAACCAAAACCCTCAAGGTCATTCCAGAGAGAATCATCGACAACTATAATAAAAGACAGCAGCCACGCTTCAGGTCTGTATGTGCTCATCTAAGCTGTGAGTGAATTTGCATTTGTTGAACTGTGGCAGTGATAATAAATAAACTTCCCTTCCTAGACTTGATCCACCAGGTCAGGCTATTTCTACAGCAACTCAGGAGCTCCTGCGATTGGCTGAGGCCAATCCAAATGGTATTACGACCCTGGACCCTGTGAATGACCTGCACCTGAAGGGTGTGGATGTGGTGGAGGGAGTGATGAGGCACCGAGTGTTACAGGACTGTCTGAAAGACTTCCACTGTATCCACTCACCCACCTTCACTGAACAGGTCTGTGTGTTATACTCATGTGTCACATTCATACACTACCGTTCAAAAGTCTGGGGTCCGTACGATTGTTGAAAGAAATTAATACATTTATTCAGCAAGTATGCATTAAATGGATCAAAAGTGACATTTATAATGTTACAAAAGATTTATATTTTAGATAAATGCTGTTCTTTTGAACTTTCTATTAATCAAATAAATAAAAACCTGAAAAAAGTGAATCACATTTCCACCAAAATATTAAGCAGCAAACCATAAAAAAACATTTTCGACATGTTTCCCCTTTGAATTAAACAGATTTTTCTGAGCCTTTTGCCAGATATTTGTTCTTGTTGTAATCATAAACTTACTTCATTTGGATCAATTTCTCACAAAACAAGACTTTTTATTTTATGTAATTTTGCTTTTCAAGTAAATGTATCTTGATTTAAGAATCTTTAGACATTTGCACTGGAAAACAAGACAAAAATACATGAAGAGCATCACTTTTTGTCAGTGTGAGCAGAAGGTACAGTAAAAGTTTGTTGTATTTTTATACTTTGAAGCACTGCTAATACAAGACATTTACATTTACATAGAGCCCGTATTGACATATTGTGTTCCATTCAATTTATTCCTTAAAGTTTCTTTACTTGGTTCTGAAAGTCTTAAATTTACCTTCATAAAGCCTGCAGATACCCTGTCAAACAGAAAACAGCTTATTTAAATTGTAATAATATTTCACAATATTACTGTTTTTACTGTAGAGTAAGTAAGAGACTTCTTTGCCGACCCCAAACGTTTGATTGGTTGTGTTTTTCCTGCTGTTTTAGGTCATGTCCAAATCCACTGTGCAGACAAAAGGGAAAAAAAATATTTCTAATCTAAATGTATCTTCTGCTGTATTTTCTCATCCATATTTAGTAATTTGGTACAGTAACTCTTCCAAGTGCACAGACTCTGATTTATTGAGTGTGACAGTGGCAGGGAGGAATAAGGATGTGTCTCATTAGCTCTCAGTAATCACTTCCAGCCTTCACCTTCTGCAGTGCGCTGATGGAGTAGAGTGATAAACTCGCTCTCTCTCACTGTCATTTCCATATTCTCTCTCTGTGTGTGAATATCTTGCTCAGTTTGCACGTGTGCAGGAGAGGATGAGTGTACAGGAAGAGCTTGACAAGCTTCTGTTCCTGGTGTCTGATCAGTCATTGACACTGCTGCCTGAGTACCATCAGAGAATCAAGGTCAGTCCATCTACTCATTCTGGTGAATATCCATGATATAGACAGTAGCACAGTAATATGTTCTTTGATATGCAGTCACGAACAACAAGAGTTTTGTATATAAACATGTAGACACACACACAGGTCATCAAAGATGTAAATGTGCTTGTTTCTTCATCTGAACAGATTTGGAGAAATGTAGCATTACATCACTTGCTCACCAATGGGTCCTCTGCAGTGAATGGGTGCCGTCAGAATGAGAGTCCAAACAACTGATAAAAACATCACAATAATCCACAAGTAATCCACACCACTCCAGTCCATCAGTTAACATCTTGTGAAGTGAAAAGCTGCGTATTTGTAAGAAACAAATCCAACATTTTAACTTAAAAACGGACTAAAATAAAGTCAAATGTGTCAGTGGATTTTGATGTGAGAGAACAACAGATGGACTTTTTCACTTGTGGAAGTATTATTATGGATTATAGGCTCATATTTTGACCAGAAGCGACGTTTAAAACATCTTAATGATGCATTTGTTTCTTACAAACACAGCATTTCATTTCACAAGACGTTAACTGATGGACTGGAGTGGTGTGGATTACTTGTGGATTATTGTGATGTTTTTATCAGTTGTTTGGACTCTCATTCTGACGGCACCCATTCACTGCAGAGGACCCATTGATGAGCAAGTGATATAATGCTACATTTCTCCAAATCTGTTCAGATAAAGAAACAAATTCATCTACATCTTTGATGCAAATTTTCATTTTTGGGTGAACAACTCCTTTAAGTTTCAAGTGAAATTTGACATTAAACCATTATTGCATGCACAATAGAAAAAAATAGATAACAGTGTAGTGCCTTAGAAACCTGGGACAGAAAAGTGTAAACTGCTCTAATTATGGAAAAAGAAGACCAAAAAGTATCTGCTTCCAATAATCTTAATCAGACCAGAATTAATCATTTGAAATGTTAATATTGGCCAATACTGATACAGTTGCTGATATTTTGTGCATCAATCATTAACATTTTTTACCATTCTTTGTTCACCTGGTGTTAAAAATCACCAATAAATGTTTGCAAATGTTTTAAGCAAAGTCAGTGCTAACAGTATAGTGCTATATTGGCAGGTGCTGGAAGCGCTGCAGTATGTGGACAGCACTGGGGCGGTTCAGCTGAAGGGTCGTGTGGCGTGTCAGATCAGCAGTCATGAGCTGCTACTCACTGAACTCCTGTTTGAGAACACACTGAGTCCTCTCGCCCCTGAGGAGAGCGCCGCCCTGCTGTCCTGCCTCATCTTCACACAAAACACCCAGATAGACCCGCACATCACCAACACGCTACAGGAGGTAAAGCAGTGCTCGCCACATTCTCACAACCGCATTCCCGCCGCCAAGGAAAACCTGGAAATACTTGCGATTCCCAGCATCCCATACTTGTTGATGCCGGAGATTAAAAGCTGCGGAAATCCTATGAATTATACATGCTAATACATTATACCCATCTGAAAAGCATCAAGCATTTTTTTCGAGCCCACAGCCATTAGAATATAAAGCAAGAGATACTCTTGTCGTCATGGTTATGGATGGATGTGAATTTATACGGCTCTCTGAGCTCATACACCCAAGAGATGTGCTTAAGAATGTAGTGGATGCAGCCTGGATGCTTTGCTTTATGCCTTTAGCAAAGGATGCAGTCGCACGCGAACATGTCGGTGTGTGTTGTCGAATGGCCCAGAAACATGGAATTGCTTTAAAGGGACCGTGAATAAGTCATGACACTAGACTGAGAAGCACACAAGAGTTTATATAGTTCACAGAGGCTCGTAGGCCAATGTGAAAAAGTCCTTGCTGTTCAAACGCTGCGAGGTGAGGTTGTACAGGTAATGTAGCTGCAGGATTGACTGCATGACTACATTGCCTGCCTTGCTCTAGTTGTGTAAGCACTTAGACAGCAGATGGAGAAGAGAGTAGTGCGCAGGACAAAAGAAACTGACGCAGTGCTGTACTTAGACTAGAGATCTCACTATATGACTAATGTATAAAACTATATGTTTAGGCCTGCCAATTAAATTAATTACACAAGATGCCACTTACACTCAATTGAATTAATCACTATTTGTCACATATAACAACTCTAATTGAAGATAAAACATTAAATGCTGAGTAAATAATTAAGATATTATACAGTGAAAATACAGCTATGGAAAAAAATTAAGAGTTTTTTGGTCAAAATAACAAATGTTTTCATTTGTTGTGATTGAAAATCAGGGTTATTCCACCAAATATAGATTTCTTAACTCTTCTGAAGTTAAAACATTGGTATTGTGTTGTCTAAAAATGAATAAAATCATGTCTGAAGACATGGCATCTTTTTTGTTATTTTCACCAATTGTCAAAAAAAACATTTTTATTAAAAATTTTAGAAGAAATGTTATCAGTAGTTTACAGAATAAAACAAAAATTATGTTTTATTCAGACACGTAACTACAAATCATAAATCCAGAGAAACTGAGAATTTTCAAGTGGTTTCTTAAATTTTCCGTAGCTCTGTATGTATGCTTGTGTGTGGGTGTGTGTGTGTGTGTGTGTGTGTATATATATATATATATATATAGGGTCAGTAAGATTTTGCTAATGTATTTGAAAGAAGGCTGCATTTATTTGATCAAAAATATGGTAAAAAATTTAATATTGTGAAATATTATTACAATTTAAAATAACTGTTTTCTATTTGAATATATTTAAAAATGAAATTTATTCCTGTGATGCAAAGCTGAATTTTCAGCATCATTAATCCAGTGTTCAGTAGCCCCTTTCACACATACAGTCTTTAATGGTAAATTACTGTTAAGAGATCGTGTGTGAATAGGACCTTTTCAAAAAATACCGGTAAATTTGTTCCAGCAATTTACCGGTATGAGAATTTGTAACATTACCAGTAAATTACCGGTGATGCACTCTGTGTGAAAGCAGCACATGATTACCGTATGAGCACGTACGAGTTCAGAACGCGCTGACTTAAGACGTCTACTCTGAGCCAATCATAACATTCTGACGCAGATGACGCAAGTCAACGAAATGTCTGAAGTCGTCTAATACGATGTCTCTGGGCCAAAAGCAGCTGCATGAATGTGAACGTTTGACACAAAAATGAAAACATCAACAAAAGCTCTAACCATGTTTTCCTCTCCATGTTTAGAAACACAACACCGGGAGGCGCAGCCGTTTAGAGGTCATTTCTGGTTAATGATGTCACAGAATTTACCGGTATTTTAAAACGGATTTGTGAATGGTGCTTTACCGGTAAAAAGGCGGAATGTCATTGCCCGTGTGAACAGTGCATTTTTGTATTTACCGGTAAAGTCGTTCTGGTAATTTTATTGCAATTTACTGGTATTACTGTGTGAAAGGGGCTAGTGTCACACGATCCTTCAGAAATCATTCTAATATGCTGATTTGTTGCTCAAGAAACATTTCTGATTATTATTAATTCATCATATGTTTGTGGAAACCGGGTTACATTTTTTTTCCAGGATTTTCTGATGAGTGGAAAGCTAAAAAAACAGCATTTATTTGAAATAGAATGCTTTCGTAACATTAGATATGTCTTTACTGTCACTTTTGATCCATTAAATGTGCTCATGCTGAACAAAAGTATTAATTTCTTTTTAAAAATTACTGACCCCAAGCTTTTTATAATGTATACTTAGAATTTATATGTATGATATATAAGTATAAATCATTTTTCTCCCATTCTCTTGCTTTCATAGGGCATCAATCAAGTACTCAGTGTGGCACAGCGTATTGGTGAGCTGCAGATGGATTGTGGGATAGCTCAGACTGCTGAAGACTTTGTGGCCCAGTTCAAGTTCGGCCTGACTGAGGTTGTGTACTGCTGGGCAAGAGGCATGGTGAGCACTGACCTTAAAACAAATCATCCAACCGTCACAGTGGCCTTAATTTGGTGCTCATTTAGTTCAAGTGATATTATATTTTTTATATAATAATATCAAAGAGACAAATTGATTTATCCTTTAAGGAAGACCTAATTATGAAACTTTGATTCATTCAAATATATGTCTATCTATCTAGCTATCTATCTGTGTGTGTGTATACATTTGATATATATATATATATTAAATGTAGCTTCTCTAGCTAATACTAACACTTTACACAAATATTTATATTCTTGTAATGTAGTGATATTAATGTCTGATCAAAATGAACTGATAACCTATATTCCTATTTGGAGAGAGACAATCATATTTCTCCATAGCTCCCAATAATGCTGGTATGTTTTTGTGTTTGGTAGCCGTTTGCTGAGATTGCCCAGCTGACGGATGTGCAGGAGGGGACGATCGTACGCTGTATCCAGAGGCTGGACGAGGTCCTGAAGGAAGTGAGACAGGCTGCGCGCATTGTGGGTGACTCTGTCCTGGGCAGCAAGATGGAAAGAGCCTCGCTGGCCGTACGCAGAGACATTGTGTTCACTGCCTCGCTCTACACTCACTGAGAGAGAGGGAGACAGAATGTGTTTGCGTGTTGATTGGGATATAAAAGAGAGCGTACAGAATATGGACCTGAGAGACTGTAGGCTACTTGAATTACTGAGTGCATGTTTACAATACGTTGAGTATGCATGTGTGAGTGAAGGAGTAATTCACACCTGACCAAAATTGTGATCTCAATATGAAATGGAGGTTGACATCAGTCATGAACTGTAATTAAATGTACAGCAATAAAATGAGCTGTATGTGGAACACTGGTTTCATCCAAATTGTCAGAAAAAGTAGAAACTAATATAGTGCTTTTGCTTTGTGATCATTTTAATAAGGACTGCAGTGGTGTTTTCTTTTATGCTTGTGTCATTATCATTGCTATTTTCACATTTGCTGTCATTTTTTATAATTTTTTTTATTTTTATTTTAATTTTGTCATGCAGGACTTTTCTTTATATATTCTATTTGCGCTACATTTCTGCGTTCTTGCTCTCTCTTAACCCTCTGCCCCCACTATTTTATCCTTAAATATAGTTAATACATTTAAAAAAATCATAAAGTAGCTCTCAGATCAACCAGGGCTATAGCCACATAATTTAGGATGAAACCTCCCAATCCTGAATATTTGATTTCTTTCCCGCATTCCCCGAATTTTATATCAACTTATGTATAATTCTGCTTTCAATAAATGAACATTTTATAATAGAGACATTATGAATATTTCACAAATACATCACCATCGTGACTGTGGCAGTCAATATAGGCCAGCTTTTCATATTAAAAGTTTTTTTTTTAGTCTAAACTTCAGAAAATATGAATGAAGCCCTATTTCAGGCTTCAGGTCCCTTGGGTCCGTGATTCATCGCGCTGTGCGATGGAGGGCCCTAAATCACTTGAAATTATAGCGTGATTTTCTGAAATAACACGGGTATGGTTTACATAAAAGAACCTTTTGGATTAGCCTATCAGTACTTTTTCTTATGATTTAAAAAAAAAACATTATTTCAGTGTAATGAGTCAGTGTCTTGCAATCTTATAAAAGCTCACACTCTAAAAAATGCACTGGGTTGTATTTAACCCAGCATTTTTTAGAGTTTTTTTTTTTAGTCTAAACTTCAGAAAATATGAAAATGTTTTGAGATTTGATTTTTAGATTTACTTAAAAAAAAAAAAAAAATTAAGCTGCATACAAACCAAAGTACCATACTACAGTTAAAGATACTATGGTAAACCCATCTTTAATATGGTATCTCCTTCAAAAAATGTGTGATTGTAATAATTTAATGTCAGTATGCCAAGATACCACAGTTTTATTGTAACAGTAACGATGGTAGTTTATCGGAAACTATAGTTACCATGGGAACCATATTATTCGGCGTTCTTAAGTTCTTTTTCTGTTTCTTAATCTCTGCCTCTTAAATTCTTCTCGTAAATACACTTCATTAGTTTTAGTATTCTTGAAACTATGTTAACATGTGATATGTGCGACATGGACGCTGTCTCTTTAAGACGCTCTGGTTAGTTCAGTGTAACTAGATGCGTTAGTTGAAACCTGTTCTGCTGCTGCTGCTGATGCTGCTCTGGATGCTGGCGTGGAAAACAGCAGCAAAAGACATCCAGTCGCTTTTACGCCCAGATAACCCAGCCTTCACACAGCATACATCAGGATTGCCATCTGAAGATGCGTTATAATTAGCCTGGAGAAATCATCGGCATCGTCTGCTGTGATCCGACACAAAAAGACAGACGCACTGGTTGGATTTGGGTTTTTATTACTGGAGGGACAACCCGAACATCGTCGAAACGGATAAATAAACGCGATGTCGTCGGAAAAACACGGTAAAAATGTCTATTTTTGTATTTGGTCATTCATGCAGCTGGACGACTTATTTAAATCAAAGGTATTTATTATAAAACGACTGAGAGACGATGACATGTTAAAGCGAATTATACGACCATTCGTGAATTTTATTGTTTCAGTGTTCATCCTTATTTCATCTGTATATAGTCATATATTCAGACTGTGTGTCAAATCCTAGTAAGCTGCCTACCTAGGCATCAAAAGCGCGTGAGGTCTACAGTCGCGTGCTGCAGCTTTGCCTGTGATAACCACATGCTGCGCGTTTTGGGCATTATATGCGCCTTTCGAAGAAATACATCTAGCAGATGATCCCCATAAACGCTGTCTGTGCAGGCAGCTCGCTAGTATTTGAGACACAGCCGTCGTGTTCGTTATTCTCTCGGATATAGTGTCGTGTTTAACATATAGGCTACATTATAAACGGCTGTGTGGAGTTTCATCAAATGAGAGAATACATGCACGTTGAAGGATGTGGTTTGAATGCTGTTGTATGAAGCCCTATTTCAGGCTTCAGGTCCCTTGGGTCCGTGATTCATCGCGCTGTGCGATGGAGGGCCCTAAATCACTTGAAATTATAGCGTGATTTTCTGAAATAACACGGGTATGGTTTGCATAAAAGAACCTTTTGGATTAGCCTATCAGTACTTTTTCTTATGATTTAAAAAAAAAAAACATTATTTCAGTGTAATGAGTCAGTGTCTTGCAATCTTATAAAAGCCACACTCTAAAAAATGCACTGGGTTAAATACAACCCAGTGCTGGGTAAAATAGGGACAAACCCAGCAATTGGGTTGTTTTGACCCAGCGGTTGGGTTACTACCCAGAAGGTTGGGTTAAACATTTAACATTTAGCCTAACCACTGGGTCAGCCCAATTGCTGGGGTTGTCCCTGTTTTACCCAGCACTGGGTTGTATTTAACCCAGCATTTTTTAGAGTGCATGCTCATCTCTTTGTCAACCCATTTAGACAAATATTTAAAGTATATTCATTGTTTAATATACCAAATCTGCAGGATGTTAGAAAAGAAAAGAGGACGCAAATAGACAAGGTTATGCTCAGAAAATGATGCATTTAGTATGTATCCCTGTGTCTTTCTTTTTTCCCACTTAAAACTAATTAAATATGAATTGCAGTGCCTGAAACCCCTCTATACCATCCTGAACTCTATATATTCTGCTGAAGGAGTACAGTCGTTTACACATAGAAACACACACTGAACTCTCTGGGGTGACACAAGCTGGTGTAAATCTCATAATAACAATAGCATAATAAATAATAGCGTGCATAGGTCAGGTTAAAAATTCCATTCATTTTCTCCGTAGGGAAATTGATTTGAACTAAACCTTTAAAGACAGAACTGCTGTGCGCTCTGAGGTTGTTAATCAATGGTATATGCTGTTGTTGAGACCATCAGTTATTATTTTAACTTATGTTTTTATAAGCAGAATGCCAGGTGAAAAAACTACTTTTCCCACAATTCAGCAAAAAGCTCCACCAATCAGAGCGTCCCGGTGAACAAATCACCTCAAAATATCTCTGCAGGGAGCTCTCAGAATACTTAAAGGGGTCATGAACTGCCTTTTCAAATTATTTTGTACTGTTCTCTGAAGTCCACTTATAATGTTATCAAGATTTTAACGTCAAAAACCATCATCATTTAGAAGTAATAGGCTATTTTCTGTCCTGTTTTGACCCCCTCATCGGAGCGCTCTGTTTGAATAGGCGTGGAGGATTGTAGACTCAGAAGTAAACGCCCACTGATATGATTGGCTAACAGCTGTGTATGTTTGACAGCCTACATGCTTCATAGATGGACGCTGTTTTTAGACTAACGAGAAAGTTTTGAGTTTTGAAACTTACTGGATGTTTTAATAGTACAATGACCTCTTACATGTCAAAAGATCAAGGGAATTTTGATTTCTCAGTTCATGACCCCTTTAAATATTTGTATGTATGTATATATGCATATATATGCTTAAAGGATTAGATCACCCAAAAATGAAAATTCTGTCATTAATTACTCACCCTCGTGTTGTTCCAAACCCGTAAGACCTTCGTTCATCTTCGGAACACAATTTAAGATATTTTTGATTAAATCTGAGGGCTCCCTGACCCTCCCATAGACAGCAAGGTAACTACCACGTTCAAGGTCCAGGAAAGTACCAAGATGATCGACAAAGTAGTCCGTGTGACATCAGTGGTTCAGCTGTAAAGTTACGAAGCTTTACATCACGCAGGATCTGGGTCAGCGCCTGCGCCGCCACACGCTCGCGTCATGGTACTGTCGTGAACGCACGTCCAAAGTGACGCAGTAGAGACGAAAATGTGGAATAAAGTCGTTATTTTTGTTTTCTTTGCGCAAAAAAGTATTCTCGTAGCTTCGTAACTTTACAGTTGAACCACTGATGTCACACGGACTACTTTGTCGATCATCTTGGTACTTTTCTGGACCTTGAACGTGGTAGTTACCTTGCTGTCTATGGGAGGGTCACAGAGCCCTCAGATTTCATCAAAACTATCTTAAATTGTGTTCCGAAGATGAACGAAGGTCTTACGGGTTTGGAACAACACGAGGGTGAGTAATTAATGACAGAATTTTCATTTTTGGGTGAACTAACCCTTTAAATTAAAAAAGATATGCTTAAATGCTTATATATGCTTTAAATTGATGTCACATTTAGAAAGAACAAGAGGCAATGAAGTTGAAGAGGCAATTGAAGTTTTCCAAATGTCTTGCTTTTTGCTTTTATCAATGTCTTAAGGCCCATTCACGTCAAGAACGATAACTATATAAAGATAACTATAACTATAAAAATATTTGCATCCACGCCACCGGATTATAACATTTATTATAAGCACAAGCTGCAGTTTTGTCGCCTGATGCATTAAATGCTTTGAGATTTTTAAAGTCGGGTGGATTCTGATTGGCTGTCAATGTTTTTATCGTTCATCAGCTTGAAAGAATCGTCCTGCTAGTGATTCCATTTAAATCATTCTTCTGTGCTACCTTCATAGCTGCCGTGTGAACTTCTCTATTTTCAAAGAATTAGACATTTATCTTTATGGTTATAGTTAGCATCCTTGGTGTGAACAGGCCTTTGCTCTTATGAATAATTGTCTTTATTTGTGATTTATGACTGTGGATCTGTCATGGCTCAGGATTGGAGGAGGCAGCGGGGAGGCAGTCCATGTCTCAGCCGATGATGCAGATGGCTCCGCCTCCCTACCTCTCCACCCAGGACCCCAACATGCCCCCACATCCTCCTCCACCCGGCTGTGCCCCGCAGCCCAATTACCCCCCTCCCCCTCCTCCTCCTGGATCAGAGGGGTACCTGCAGGAAACCCAGTTCCACTGTGGCACCCTTGGGCCCCAGGGGGCTCCAAACGGATACCCGGTGCAGACGCACGGACCAGTAGGCACTGTCCCTCATCCCCCAGTGGGCTATTTACATCCAGGATACCCCCTTCAGCTGCAGCCATGCACGGCCTACGTGCCCGTCTATCCCATAGGCACAGGGGTGAGTGGGCATTCATTTAATTGCACAGGATAATCCAGAAGTATATAGCATGAGAGCGGGATACAACATACTACATACTACTGTAGTTAAACATAGGGAGATGAGTGGTTCTGTTAATGGTATGTATTTTTATGTTATTTTTTGAGTGTTATTTTAATAGCCATAGGCTGGCTCTTTAAATAAAATATGCAGCTACTCTTATGCTTAAAAGATTATGTGAAATGTGATGCGATTCCCGTGCATCCCTGGAGAACAAATACCTTCCCAAGATGGAAATATACCAGCGGAGATGATATGCATGATATATCCGGACTATAACTCTTATCTGCTAATATTAGTGCATTTTGAAAACGTATTAGTAAAACCTCAACATTTTTTGGCT